TCGTGTTCTTACAATTGTCCATTATCTATATTTATTTTATAATAGACACATGTATTTCAAATTACATAATATTAGACGAGCGACATACGAAACTCTACGTTTAAGATTTTTTTAAGTATGAATAGAGCAGTAGCCTTTTCTGTAAGATTTTGTTTAATAATTATCTATTTTAGAAAATAGTTAATTTTGCGATTTTGTTAGAGAGAACCTAAAACACTTTAAGAATGCAATGCTTACGTAAAATGAAGTTGCTTTCTTTGTACTCAGTTTTTTGTTTTCTATCAGACTTTTCTCCATCCCATTTTAAATCGTACATGTGTCAAGACATTAGTAATACAATTTACTATGGTCTCTACCGTGCTGCAGCCTCTGATATTCCAGCCTCACAGAAGAAAAAAAAGAAAGAAAAAGCAAAGCCTTAGTAGAAAGTGGTTTATAATTATGTCTCTGGTAAACGAAGTGGCTATTCAACCTGACTGTTCAATTGCCACCATTAGCCATTAAAAAGATCCCGTTGTTGTCACTATTTTCTATCACGCACCATTTAAAAGCCCTTTGCTATTGATATAAGATACACGAGCACTAAGATATAGACTCAGGTAAATAGTATTCTATTAGTAATCCTAATAACAGGTCTACCTAAACAGGCTATCAATATCACTTCAAGAGTATAATATACAATACTATGCAAATAACTAAAAATATTTTGGAAATGCGAGTGACGGTACTTACTTTAAATGAAGCTTCTAGTTTTCTGGGTGCCCCATCGGAGTTGATTCAACAAGATTACAATCATTATCATGTTCATAAAAACATCGATATCAATTCGGACCGATAAAAAGTCCAACAAGGTCGCCTCTGCAGCGTCCAACTCGATGAATGTATGATTAATCAGGACCGTGTATCGAATTAGCGTTATCTGGGGCGGTTTAAATCGAAACGGTCGTTAGTATTCGCGCCGCGGGTCCTGTGTGTGTGTTTTAACCGACTTAAAAAAAGGTTTCTCAATTTGATCGTATATATTGTAATTTTTTTTTATGTGTGTTTGCGGATAACTACGTCATTTACGAACCTATTTTGATGATTCTTTTTTTGACGTAAAGGAGATATCCCAAGGGTGGAACCACGATAAGGAAACCCGGATCTTATGATGGCATCCCAGAGAAATCGAGGGCCGTCATTGAATGTTATACAAAGTCTTTAATTTTCTGATTGAAGTCGGTTTTTGTTAAAAATTATACTTGCTATATACTGTTCTCATACCTGACTGAGATTTGTGTGGAGTGGTTTCTAGGTTGCCGAAAATAAATAAATCAAAATGTAACTACAAATATAACATGATTTTAATAATCGATCTGATATATGACACAATACCGCCATCAAAATTTGGGCACCTTTTACCTAAATCTTTTAAAAATTAATACAATAACTTTTCAACGCCATAGATTTAATAATATATGGCTTTGAGAGCCGTGATAGCTCAGTGTCCGGGCGCTCGCCTTTAATTCAATTTACTCGAGCAACCCGAGTCCGATCTCCGGCGCCAGCACCAATGAAATTGTTAATTTTAAGTGCTGACTTATCACGTGCTCAGCGGTGAAGGACAACATCATGCATATTTTCGAAATAATAACAAAAAAATATTTGGAATATATGCAAAGTCCTCCAATCCGCTGTGAGGTCGCGTGTTGGACTATGCCCTGATACCCTCTTTACAGAGGAGGCCTTTGCCCAGCAGTGGGACATTTATAGACTGATACTTTATTTTTTTAGGGCTTTGCATATAGAAGACACAAAACCAGTACGGTTATGTGCCTGCTGATTAAAGTTACCACGGCTCGAACTCGTAAACTTTTGAATGGAAATTCCAAGCCCACGGGTGCTAATAACTTAAAATCGGCAAACCCGATGTTAACAAATGACTGCAGACCATGTATTACATATGTGCTCAAAGTTGTTAACTGGTACAGTTAGTCTGGTTAGGAAAATACGACTTAGACGCAGAGGTCACTCGACTCGAATCCAACTTCGCATTCGGGAAGCTTTCGCATTTCAGCATATCTTCACTGAAAGCTAAAATAACTATGGGCAGACCATATAGCTCGTAGAACCGATAACCGATGGGGAAGAAAGGTTCTTGAGTGGCAACATCGTACTGCCCATCAGTGTTGGACGACCCTCCACAAGGTGGAGTGACGACCTCTGAAAATGTGCGAGAAGTCGATGGATGCAGGTGGCTCAGGATTACGCCTCGTGGCTGTGGGGGAGGCCTCCGTTCAGCAGTGAACTCTAACAGGCTGAAATGATGATGAAGTATTAAACCAATTGTCGATTGACACCTTCCAACTAACAAAAAAACACTGTAGGAAAAATTGTGTTGCAAGCGAAAATAAAAATTTCATTCTTTAATGCATAAATAACGTAACAGGAATTAACATGTCAAAACATTCAATCGAAATTGCCAGTTGTATAGCTTGAAAAATATAAAAGCTTTTCCTTCGTTATCGGCGGCATGTTGAGACCGTAGATCGGGTTGTCGGCGTATCTCGTCTATTTAGTATAAATCGGTCTAATGACATAACATTATCATTTGACACGTCCAAGAATTGCCGAGGAAAGCGTGTAACTCGAGCCCGCTCCGTGCTTCGAAATCGCTGACCGAGCACTGTCCCGTGACTCGTGTAAGAAACGGCGCAGGGCACAAGCGACAGCGGTTTGTATAAATCTTAAACGTCTTTTTTTATCATTCTTGTCTTTCAAAGGTGTATTATTATATATTGAAAATCTTCCTTTTCTGTTTATGAATGAATGAATGAGAATATACACATAGTTAAACGCACGCATGAGCACATGCGCAGCCCTACCCATAGCGGAGGGTCCAAACCCGTGGGTTCTGGCTAGCCCACCGGTTCTGCGTCCGATGATGCTTTAATAGTCTTGGGATTGAAAGCAAAAACATCAGTTAATACAAGATACAAGCAGTATACACAAAAGTAACTCTTCCAGACAACCAAAGGCGTAAAGGAAACGTTTACTACGGAGGTGGTGCAATAAGAATATAATGTAGTGTTATAATTGATAATAGTGTAATTTTTAAAGCTTTCTTAGGATTGATTTTAAGAGTGAATTTAAAATTATTATATTGGCCCTAAATACTCTCTAAAATTTTTTTTAAAGATTCTTTATTGTTATTGTTACATTTTTAACAACTTGACTTGGAAAAAGTATTGTGTTGTGTTTACTGTATTATCTATAATAATCGTCGAAAGAGAGATAACTTTCATGGGTTGAAAATTTAAAAAAAAGAACAGAATCTTTTATCTATAACCTACCACTATTCCTAGAATATTCTAGAATATTTCTCACCGCCTAGACAGTGCCGTGAAGCATAAAGTTAGTTAGCTTAGTTGCTAAGTGCGAATCTCCTGTGTTTTGCTAGGGTACACTTTTTGTTCAATCGTCAGTTCGCCTCCCGCCTTCCATTGGGCTACAGTTTTTTTTTAAAATAAATACGCGCCGAGTTAAATTGCGAAATGAAAAATAACCGTTTTATTTGAAAATTTCGCAATAATTCGTACCGAGCTTTAAGTGTGTGTGGCGAAAAAGTAGCATGACGACGTTTTGGACAAATTATTATTGAGTATTTTTTGCGGCAATCAACGTCAGTTCCACGAAGAGAAAAAAGCGCGGCGATCGCCATTTTTTTACTTTTATGCAAATAAATTAGAGTGTTGTTTTGCTCGTTTAAAATGGAGCCACCTTGCCAGCTTTACAATTATGTAAGTCTCAATAATGGTCCCAATGTATTTTCGGTACGTGAGAAGTGGTTATAAACAGGCTTTGTGGGGATTTTTTTAAATTTCATAATGCTGTTCGACATCTAGCTCAGATCAACTTCGGAATCCTTTGGCCAACTGATTTTTCGCGAGCGTTCCATTACTTAGTCTTGTTATTTTAGCATCTTAATGGGAATTCGTAACCAAAATGAAAACTTGTCACGTTCAAAACTAGATTGCGCATTAGTTTATTTTTAGTTTATTTTATTACCAAAATAAACTGGAAATTGAAACTGGATCGTTTTAGATTCCTTAATATTTATTCCATTCATTTCGGAATTAAATTAAAGTTTTTTTGTTTGATCCGTTTAAATTATCATTATAAATTTTTGGTAAATTCAACTATTTTCTTAACAGAACCATCAATAGATACGATATTTATTTTTTCAGATGTCCGGAAGATATAATTTATATTTGAATTAATTTAGTATATATGTAATATAATTAAGATTATCGTTTAAATACTAAAATCTAAATGAAATTATTTTACGGATTTTTCTTGTTTAGTCATACATTACATTCTAAGCAATACATTGCATCACCCATGGTCACAGGGTAAACTCTTCGCCTGCCACGCGTGAAAATTGAACGGGATTAAATTTGGATGAGTGTTAATTAATAAAATTAAGTATTATAACAATAGAGCTCTTAAATCGGATGCAATTATATTTTACTCGCAACTTTGTTATGATAATCAAATATTATTTCGCGTACGATTGACAAGTCTGCCTATTTCATGTTCTCTTTATCTTTTTCGTATGGTAAAAATCTAAACTATCTAGTTATTTAAATATAATAAAATAGTACAACTGCTTGTTGCTTATTTCAAAAAAGTTCAGAGAAAATCTGAGTCAATTGTTACGTTATTAGATCTCATAAGCCCTGTATAATAAAATCTCCAAACAGTTCTCCATAAAATCTGACAGAAATAAAATTGGTAGTAGCGTTTGCAACAACAATCTGAGCTCAGAAAACGTGTTGTTATCTACACTCTATATTTATTTCGTCCGATTTAAGATAACCGATAACGTCGAATTAGTCATTTGCGTACACATTACAAGAGAACGCATTCACTCGGGCTGATTGCAATGTTGGCGATACTTGGCCGACTTTGGCCTTTGCACGTCATCAACTGTTCTGACGTCACCGTTACCATGGTTACAGCTGGTGTGGTCGACCATCTGCGAGGAGGTGAACAAGCGGTGCGGAGGCGAGCGGCCGCGCACTCCAGCCCAGGTCAAGATGTGGTACGAGAACTACAAGAAAAAGTGCAAGATGCGCGCGCACGACACGCAGGTAACCATGGCAACGGTTCCCGCCAAATTTGTCGTGATGAAATATGAAGTGAAGTAAATTTGTTTAGATATTCTATATATTTTATTAAGTATTCATAGAATCATTCTCTTCATCATTTCGTTATAAAAACTTGTCAAAAATAAACAAACAGAAGATATGCAAGTTGAGATTTAGTTCGCAAATGAATGGACAAAATATATAATTTGTTGTATTTATAGGGTTCCGTATCCAAAGGATAAAACGGAACCCTATTACTAAGACTCCGTTGTCTCTCTCTCTGTCTGCCTGTCCGTCTGTCACCAGCCTGTATCTCATGAACCGTGATAGTTAGATAAATTTTCATGATAGATGATGTATTTCTGTTGCTGCTACAACAACAGATACTAAAAAACAACATAAAATCGTATACAACAGACATTTTTTTTTATAATGGTACGGAACCCTTCGTACCCCAGTCCAACTCGCACTTGGCGACTCGTTTTTTCCGTCAATTTAGTAAGCGGGATTATCACTGAATGTGTTTGGATATTAACTTTTTATTTAAAACTTAATAGGCTTATTGCCCAGTTTGTATTTAGCGATTTTTTTGTAGATCTCTTAGCTTTCCCAGATATTTATATATTAATATTTTCTAAAGGTGGATTCTTATTGTATGCTTTAACATATGCTATAATATTTTTTAACAAGTAATTCATAGCTGTAAGTTTTATAAATAAAATAAATTTTTATTTTTCCTTAAAATGTGATTTTTTTCGAAAATTGCGAAAATTTCTCTTAATAAAAATTCAATTACTGACTGAACCCACTTCTACAAACTATTATTGGTCATCCATTTTACGCAAACTAAAGAGCTTGACTAAATTTTAGTAAGCATTTATAATGTAATGGTACTTAATTTAATATCACATTCTCGAGCACTTAAAGAGCACTAATGAAAATATTAATTTTGAGTGCTGACTTATACGTATATTTATTATGACTTATTTATACGCATATAATATGTATTTGTATCTATACGTAAGTCGGGCGTAAGGTGCGTGGGATTTACCTAATGATAAATAAAATTTTCTCTTTAAACAGCAACCGGCCGCCGAGGCGCCTCCCGGCATTCTCGATGGTATGCTTTGGCAGAGTATACATCCTCTCGACGTCAAAGGTATTTAATGCCTTCCCTCGTATATCCTATCTCATAGAAGCATTAAAACCCGCATATTCAGGAACATAAAAAACTCACCAAATAAAACATTGTTGTAACACAAAGTAATGACAACAAAATGAATTTCACATTTCATTTTGTAAAGCTATTTAATTTTTCAATAACCGCATGGTTTTTGTGTCTTAATTGCCATTTTGGCAGTGGCTTGCCCCAATGAGTTAATTTAGAATTCGATAGAGACTTCGTCTTCATATACTCAACAAACGGATGCCACATTGATATAGCATATTTACATATACGATTGACTTTAGCTATATCGTAGTGGGTTCGATTTCAGCCTTGAACAAAATTTTGTTAATACAACATGTTTTTAATAGAGAATAATAAATAAAATAAAAAGTATGCGTTAAATTACTTAAAATAAATTAAACTACTCAAAATTATCCTAAGCTTTGCTAATCATTAACGATTTTGTTATTTATTTCCCAGTAGAACATTCACTAATATAAAATTAAGATTTGTTTTTTCTACTTCGTTTTTTTTTTCTTTTTAATTAAAAATTGTAATCCAAATGAAACGCTTTTTATCGGATCAATATCTATCAAGAATGTGATTTAGCTTTAAAAAGTTAATTCATTACATATTCTCTAGATAAAAAATTTTATGTGGAGTTGTTGGGTCGAAGTCTTTACAAATCAATAAAAGCCATCTCTTTACGACATCAGCTCTGACTGAAGATAGTATCTCTATAAAAAGCTACTTTATTATCATTGATTTCTTTATCAAACTTTGCTATAATATAAAAGTACACGTTCGCTTGCAAATAGTAGATAATTTATAAAACTAATGCAGTTTTTAAAATAAGTTCACCAAAAAAAACTATTACATATTAAATAATATCTATATTTGCTTATTAAATTTTCGTTATACCAGTATTTGTTATTTCATTTGTCAGATTGTGATACTGGAAATTTCATGAATCTAAGGTTTGTCGACCATTTCGAAGCAGGCAAAATGTTAAGCTACTTTCCGCCTGAGAGTAGCATACTCGAAGATACCTTACCTTGCTTATCATTCAAGTAAAACTTCTAGTGAAGTATTTCATAGTCGGCATATTTTGTTGCGTGCAGATGAAGAGGCCGACGCCACAACCAGTGTCGAGGGCTCGCACAGCATCAAGGACGAAGACTGCGTGCCAGTTAATGTGAGTCAACCTCCGCCCCTTTTTACCCGACTGCGGCGAAGCGAAAAAAGGAGGGTTGTGTTTGACATGTGTGCGTGTATGCTGCTTCCTATGTGCCATCGTAACTAATAGGCGGCCGAACCGATTTTAATGAATGATGTACAGTTGAAGTTGTTATAAAAAAATAATACATTAAAATTACAAAAAACCTTTTTTTTTCGTATCGCAGTCGATTTCTTTAGTATCTTATTTAATTATAGTCTTGTTAGCTTATACCATTTTTACATTGATAATATTTACATTCGGAAAAGGCACATATTCAAAAGATACTCTCTTGGGGGGGGAGATAGAGTTAAGTGAAATTACCCATAAAACCCATCAGCCACTTCTAATTGGAAAATAGTTATAAGCTGAACAGATTCGTTTTGTTCTTACGTGTAAATTACAGAAACAACTCCTTCACATAAGAAACAGCTGACATTAGATCACTATTTACCAAACAGCATTTCGAAGCACGGAATCAATTGTGCGTTTACCATTACTATCCTAGAGCCACGCAACAGTTTGTTCTATTGCACGAATGGACAGGCCCGTCCGGTGATACCACGGCCTCTTCAGAAGGCCGGATCTATTTGTAGTCTTTCGTAACTTAGGGGAAACCGGGCTTAGTTTGTCAAAGCATCAACAACGATACGTGTATCGCAGGCGTAATCACTCCCCTTAAAGTGAAACTACCGTTAGCGCGCCACTGTCTCACGTGAAAAAAGCAACACATCCCATATGACACCAGCCTGTGAACTCCACAGATGTCCAACGGACGCCTATCGAGCACGAACGACAGCGACGACACGATGCCGAACGTACTCGAGCCTCAGGTGCAGATCATCCCCCAATCCTCCCCCACGCCGCCCCCCCACAAGGCCATCCCCAACCCCGCCATCAACCCCCTAACTCTCACCTCGCACTTACCGATAATAGCGAATCCGCTGCAAGCTCTCGAGCAGGCGAGGATACAGCAGACCTTTCTGCAGAAGCTCAACGAGATGTCAAATACTCCGCTGAACCTGAGCCACCTCGACGAGGAGAAGAGAAGGAACGGCCACGACAGGAGCCAAGAGAAGACTGAGGAGCCGATAAAGAATGACTGCTCGACCGCAACCGAAGAGGAGAGACTCTACTTCTCTGCTAAAAGGCAGCACGCCATATGGGAGCACGAGGCGAAAATGAAGATTCTAAACATGGAACTGCGTCAGAAGGAAGAGATATTCTCCCTGCAAAAGCAACTGTTCCTCATCGAGCTGAGATTGAAAATGGACTTTCTGGAGAAGGCCAGCGCCAAGTAGCCCGAACGTTTCTTATTTTCGGAGACATTTTATAACCTCTCCGGAGGGCGCGACAGTCGCGTTTCGACTTCGCTTACGATTACGACCACTCAGCAAAACGTGTTTGTGTGGTCTTAAGTTGTTCCCAAAAGCAATTGTACACCGAATTTTGAATTTTACGCGAACGTATTTCATACCACGGCGTTTGCTTCCGCTATTTAATAACCCAAATGAAAATATACGTATATAAGCAATCGATACGAGATAAGCTTCTGAATTCGGAACTTTTGCTTAGATTTTCTACCGAACAGGGTTTGTTGCGGCAAAATTCGTCTTAATAAAGTTAATATGTTCACAATGTGCCATCGTTAATAATAGTTAGCGATTAAAATGAGTCTTTTTTTTTTTTTGCTTTTTCTTAACTATTAATTTGAATGATTTCCTACGAAGATTAAGCCTCCCACATTATTAATTTATGCATAGTCAAAATGTCGCGTCAGAGTTTGGCCATGTGTGTCTAAAACAGATGATTTCAAACGAGAACATAAATTTTAATGTGTGAGGCTACCATAAGTCAAAATAAATTTACGTTTTATGTCCCTAAGGCATATTATTTTGTTTTTAAGAGAGTCAGTAATTGCTGTAGATGGAATATTTTTGGTACAATTTACCAATAGACCAGGTTGTTAGTCGTATATAAGCACTATGGTGTAACTTAAAATAGTATTTAAGAATAATTCTTTTTATTCAAAAAGTATTCCTTTTTATAAATACCTAAGTATTTGTACTATTTACATTTTTTGCGTTTCTTCGCACAAATTGTACCAAATATGGGTTCGAAATGTGATTGATAAAAAAGATAAGATTTATTATTTTTGTATTCGTTATTTTGCCAAGCTTATTTTTTCAACATTTATTCATAGATTTAGTGCATGAAATGTGCTTAAGATTTATTTGGCCATTTACATGGCCGACTTATTTTCTTGTATTATTTTAATTTCTCCCATCACGGCAGCTCAGCATAATTTTCGTATGTTCATACAACATAAACTGCCAAATATTTTGAATTTCGTGTAATTGTTATTTTTTTAATGTTTTAGTACTTAGTCGAGAGTCGATTTTTTGGGACTCTTTAAAAGTTTTTTTTTTTTTTTTTTTCATTATAGGATAGCGTAAGTCCCGCTTTTTGGGGTAAATGTACTTTGTGACATAAGTCGTCAAGCTCTTGATCAAACCTAAACAATAAATTAGACAGGTAAGCTTTAAACCTAGTCGTGTGAGGTAGGTGAGATTGTGCTTCAAATTGTAATTTGACAGAGCGAGTGCAGTAGGTTTGAAATCATGTTTGCATGTTGCTTTTAGTCTTGTAACTCATCTGGTGGTGCCAGAGGTCATTGACTTGTTACCAAATGTATTGTTTGACGTAACAATGGGCTCACGTGACCTGTTGTGTTTGATTTATATATCTATTGATATAAGTATTCGTAACACGATAGATTTGGCGCTCTTGTAGAATGCCGTCCACCGTTGAAGCGACGCGTGATAAAACTATTTTACTTTTGCTGACGGCGGGGAATACTGCCTCGCTTACCTCACACAACACGTTGATAATCGAGTCAGCAACGTGCCAATAACGAAAACCGTTGTTATATTAATGATAAATAAATGAAATTTATAGTTATTACATGCATAAGGATATTATAACGAAGTATAATACGTAAAGAGCGTAGGCAAATATTGTGAAGGTAATAAATCGGAGCATTATTGATATTATAAATATTTTAGTGACGTAAATTGTAATATAGAAGGAGAATGATAAATTCATAACAGTACAAAGAGTTTATTAGCGAAAGTCATTACCTCATTCAGACAGTGTATTGTAAATAAGTAAAAATAGCGTTTATAGTTGTAATGAAAATTTTAGATGAACCTTTTATATGAAGACATGTTTATATTTTTGTCGATTTTTGTTACCCTTCAAAGAGGACCTAGGTTGCCAACAAACGAGATTTTTTTACATTGGCAATATAAATAATAAATTCTATATCATTGTTTTATAAAATATGGACAAGTAAGTCAGCTTAAGAGTTTTTAAAAACATTTTATTTGCTCGAATTGTTTTTTTCCCCTACTACTTGGCAACATCGTCACCTTTTTTGATATAACAATATTGTGATGTTATTTACTAAGATCTCAGTACGGATATAAAAGTGTTTTATCGCGGATTTAGAAGCATCCTTTTCCTAAATTGATAAATAATTTCTACAAGTATTGTAATTTTTTGTAAGATATGATTTATAATTTCGGAACATCGTTAAGTTAATCTGATGAAATTGGATATTATTGATATTGAATAAAGAATTTATTTTCTGTTCCGACGTGTTTTATTGTCTTCCTCTACGCCTTTTTCATTGGCATTCAATAAAACTCCAACTTACTCCAACGACTATTTAAAAAGCAATAATTACTTTAAAAAACTTTTAAGTTAAACGGTTATTTTGTTTTTTTTTTTTTTTTTTTAATTTTTTTTTTGTTAATATTGTATTGTCATCTAAATTAAATGTGTGTACCAAATTTCAGATCAATCTGACAACGGCAAGATGCTTAAATTTCAATTTCTAATTTTGACCCAAATAAATAAACAAACAAATTCCGTACGGGTCGAGCTAAATAAAACCGTTTAAAAAGACAAGAAAACTATATTTTCTGCTTAAAATTCATTGAAACGAGAACTGCAATTGTTTTGTTCCATATTTGTGTAAACTTTATAATTCAAAGTAACATTTCTTTATAACTAAATATAGACTTGTTTTAAGTTCTTATTGAATGTCAAAAAAGCTGCCACTGGTTCACTTATTTAGACCTGTCTAGACAATAACCGGCAAAAAACTGGTTATGGTTGTATTAGTACATATATGTTTTTCGCTTTTTTATAAAACAAATGTGCAAAAATCACTATTTTGTAATTAGTCTTTTGAGTAGCGTTTTTCTTATTTTTTGGCCAGTTTTTGGTATAATCTTATAGTAAACATACATTTGACAGTGTTTATATTGAAATATACGTTAATTATTTGTAACAAAAATTATAATCAAACTAGGTATTGTGTAGGCACGACACGATGAATACACTTGATAAGTGGCCCGGAAGACGCGGCTATGGTGTAGGCTGCAGATTGAGGATCTCGCATTTTATCGTACTCTCTGCGTTCTGATTTATTGACAAGAGTAATATCCCGCAAATGTGCATGAGACATGGCAGGTTGTGTAAATGAACACATTAAATCAATAATTTCAACTAATATGGAAGGTAAACCAACTAATGACGCCGGTAGTTTGCTGATGCGCTGAATCCATATTCATTATGTATTAATCCGATGGTACATTACGCAGTCGATCAATATAGCGACAGATTATAAAGTAGAATAAGGCTGAATGTTCTGAATATGCTATTTAAATCAATAAAATAACATTAAAAAAGGTTAGTTTAGTCGTAAAATGTTTTATTTAGATATATAAAAAGTTTACATAATATTGGTCTTTCTTTGCAGTTTGGTCTCATTGCATTGTTTTGGGGCATTAAATACAAAAACAGATTCCTGGTTTCCTCCAAAAAAGTTGTGGTACCTTGATGGGCTAGACCGTCCTTTTGTTTCGTACTTTAGGGAGCCTAAAGTTCATCAGTGAACGTACGGCACCTCTAGAACGTATCATAGAAATGGATCTCCTTTTCGCATAAGCAGTAAGAACTGTGTTTTATAAAAAGGGGCAATGTATTATAAAAGCAATTATTTTTATTCGTAGTTAGCTATTTCTCCACCGATGCTGTAAATAGTATTTGAGTTCTAACGCTATTACTTTAATTATTTCTTCTTTGATTCTAATATTTTAACTATTTCTAAAATTTAATATTAACAACTATTATAACAACAAGCCGCACTAGTGGTTATATCACTGTCCGGGAACGCAAATGAAAATCAAGTGACCGCTGCTCCATGCGACCATGTGTCCCTTCGCTGTTGCCAGCGACAACAATAGTATTACTTTAAATACATTCATTATTGTTATGTGATCTAGGAACGGCTATTCTGTAGACTATCATACAGATCGCCGCAAATAGTAGGTATCATGTAATATACACTAGCAATCATTACCTATAATTTTCCTATCTCGAGTAAAATCCGCGTCTGAACGTTTTGTTTAAACTTAATGCCACAATAACATTAGTAAATAATACATAAAATAGATTTAGTAAAACTTCCAATAGCAAACTAGGTCTCGCAAAACTAAAATAAATAAATTTCTCCTTTTTTTTAACAATTTTTAATACTTCTGTATAGTTCACAAACATATTTTCCCGAAGTGAAAATAAAAAAAATAACCCATGACCACCAGAGGCATACCCAATAGGTTAGCAACTAATTTACTTCATTTCACCCCCTTGTCGACAATTCACAAAAATCGTATGATTACGAACAGATATTTTAATTTAAAATAAATAAGGAATGATTAATATTGCAAATACTCGCTACGCAATTTTGTTAAACGCGCACATATCAGTAATCGGTGAAGTTGAAATAAAAAGTTTTGAGGCTTTTTTTTTTTTAATGTTTTATTTTTTAATCTTTTCAGATTTTGGATTCCTACACACATTTATTACATCTTAAATCATCTTCATAAAATACGAAAAAGAAGAGTATTCTAGCAGTCTTATGAAACACATAAAATGTGAAATTTTTAAAGCTTATAGAAGTTTTTAAGTGTTAAAAAAGTGAATATGATTATTGAAACTTGTATTTAGAATTTCAATAAATATCTGACCTTGGTCGCGTTGGATACAAACATGTCTTAAAGATTTCGAGTCTAAAACATATTATGTACAAGAAAATAGTTAATAATTCATAGTTGAGGTAGTTAAACATCATGTCCGATTAACAGATATCTGCCAAAATTTAAATCCTAATAACTAAGAAAAATATATTACCAAGGGCGGTTATAAGTTCTGTCACTTAAAGAAGTTCTGTCACTTAAAGAAAACTGGACACAGAAATATTTTTTTGAATTCGAATGTCGAGTGTGGACTATTTCGAATCTCATTTATTTTTTTTAATTTTAAATATAAATAGTTAATCGTAGTGAATATTCCGGTAAGATTCTCATAGAGTGAAAAGCAAAACAGGCTGGCGGCGCGTGACATTGACTTTGTCAGACACGAAGACTTCAGTCCAGACTTAAATCCACTGGATTAAAAAATAAGACGTCTAAAACGGTTTGAAAAAATCTTACTTCGAATAAATAATTATGATTTTGAAATATGGCAACACTTGATGGAAGGGGCCGCTCAAAGAGTCATCATGATTTGGAGTCACTTTAGGCATCCTTGATCAAATCAGCCTGTTTTGATTTCAGACCACGTTGGTGCTGCTATAGAATGGCCGCGTATGTTGAAGGCTTGTACTCAAAATCACGGGGGTCATTGAATAAGCTTAGTTAGCATGACAATCTGTTTTAGTAAGTTCCAAAACAACAATCTGTCAATTATTTTACAATAAACATGTGACAGAACTTATGGCCCAAATAGGCATTATCGTGTTTATATGCTTAAATTACATTATAGATTTTTTTATGCCATAGTAAATGATAGATTTAATATTGAGCTTATCTTAATAGGGATTTTGATAAAGTATGCGGACGAATAAAATTTTTTCATTAAATTCATTTTTGAAACCTGCCATAAAGATTTGTAACTGATTTTTAAATTTGCAGTGCGGTGTGAAATTTATATATTTGTTATTAGTCTATGTTAATATTTAGAAAGATATTTGATAATATTTTGTATTTTTTTTTTAATGTGAAAAGTTGCCAAACGAGCAGACGGTTCACCTGATGGTAAGTGAATACCGCCGCCCATGGACATATGCTACACCCGAGGGTTACAGATGCGTTTACATTCACCAGACGAAACGCGAAAGTATTTGTCATACTTCCACTTTACGCTGGTCTTCTGTGAGGTCGTGGTACTTACCCGGACGGGCCTGCCCATTCGTGCAACAGCCGAAGCTGTTGCGAGACCCTACCACCGTTGTATATTTACTAGAAGGTATGACATGTTAATGTCTAGACAAAAAACGCTAAGTATGTCATTAACTTCGGAGGAAACAATGCCACGATAAATAAACATGAGTGAGAGAACATAATAACATACAATTTGTAGTATTCATTTATAAAAATAATATTATCGAGTATTTACAATCAATATAAATACTTGTACGAAATAAAAAACAAAAATATTCGACATTTTAAAAACAATGTGCTGCATGATGATGAAAAACGATTGCAAATAAAAAAAAATAAAGCGAACGCCTGTTTATAAAAAAATAGATGGGATCGTTATATTCCACAAAACACTATTTTCCGCGAATGTACCTCGCGAGCTCTTTATCCGGTCACGATGTCTTGAACACCGTTGATCAACACGCCGTGCAGGACCGCGAGGCCCACGTCCTTCTGCGCCGGCATCGGCATCTGCAGCTGCAGGGTCATCGGCTCCTTCGCGTGCACCTTAAGGTGTCCCTTCAGGCCGGACGCCTTCCTGAACGCCTGCTCGCAGTGGGGGCACACGAACGGCCGCTCGCCGGTGTGGCAGCGGATGTGGGACACGAGGTCCTGCCTCTGCACGAAGGCCTTCTCGCAGTGCGAGCACTGGTACGGCTTCTCGCCGGTGTGGATGCGCCGGTGGTTCTTCAGCGTGCCGGAGGCGGTGAAGCGCATGCTGCACAGGTCGCAGGCGTACGGCCGCTCGCCCGTGTGGATCCTGCGGTGCTTCACCAGCGAGCTGGACGTGGTGAAGCCGTTGCCGCAGTCGTCGCACACGAACGGGTGAGCGCCGCTGTGCTTGCGGTTGTGCGCTACCAGCTCGCCCTTCGAAACGAACCTGTTGAGCGAGCCCATTGTCATTTGGAATGAGCAAACCTAGACCGCGCTGTATTAGTCAATCCAAATGTCTAGAAATTTTATTATTGTGCAGAAAAGTATTTACTTACCTGTGTGTGAACATTTCAATAGCAATCTATTGCTTTCGTAAAGCAAATGAAAATATGAATATTGTTACGATTACGGGTGGACGGCTTGATTGCCAAAGTCCAACCAGTCTTAACAGTTTGTGTCGAATTCGATTAAATTTCCAATTATTAGCTAAGAGTAAACAAGTTCTTATTACAGAACTTTATATTGAATGACTGAATCAATGAATACACTTTTATTGTCCACCGCATGACTCGGTTGCGCAGTTGCTGAGTTCAATGGGTTCGATTCTCACACGGAACAAGTATTTGTGTTACTCACAGATAATTGTTCCGGATCTTGTTGTTTCTTCCCAAAGACGGTTGACGCCGACGGTCGAAAAGAACCTAACCAAAACCACTTACAACATGACTCTCAACCCCACCTAGGTGGTGGTTCCAGATAATTCTATGTAAAAAGAAGATAAAGCCCTTAAAAGTTAGTTAGACAAGCAGTATGGTGGTGGAAGAAAAAGAATAGAGGGATAAAAGTGTAGTGTCAATGAGAATAAGTATACGTAAAGGTTTCTGGAGGATTGGGCCTCCAAGCACGTTTCTAGTTAATTTTAATAATGTTAATTTTTAAATTCTAAATAATGTTACGGTTAGAACACCGTCGTTTTACTCCAATCCCCTCGATCATCCGAACCCCTCGTTCGTAACAATATATTTATATACACAATATGTACATGTCTACCTCACAGAAAGAATTTTTTGTAAACAAAATAAGGTGTTATTTTAGATAAACTAAGTAAAATAATATCAAATATTAATAATACAAAAATATCTCTGAATTAGATGTTTATAATAACAATTTATGTTACTTATTTAGCCAATAGTATTTTTTAAAATTTATTAAGTTACATCATATACACAGGTATTTAAATGATTTTAGCATATATAGGTTATTAAATGGTACCTATATTACTTTAGACTCGTCTAAACTAATGAAATTGAATACAAAAGTCCTTTTTCTTAGTACAAAAATTATTACAATGACTTTATCCCATTCGCAAATATCATCCATTATAATATATACCAAGTTTATTTCTTTACAATATTAATATAGGCAGAGTAGAGTAGCAACCAACTCACCTTCGATCACATTGCTCACATTTGAATAATTTTAAACCCTGATGCCTTCTCATATGTTGTGCCAAATTGTTTTTCTGGCTGAATCCTTTGCCACAATCTGAGCATAGATAAGGTTTTTCTCCGGTATGAGTCCGTAAATGGTCTTTCAATGTAGATAGCATGTAAAATGCTTTATTGCAGAAATGGCATTGATGCCGTTTCTCTATTTTATGCGCATCTCTGTGATTATTCAAACTAGCTTCTGTGGAAAAGTTCTTACCACAGTATTCACAGTTATAGCCAGTTTCTCGAGTGTGCACAGATAATATATGATTATCCAAATGGGCTTGATGCTGAAACTCTCTTTTGCATGTATTGCATATGAACTTTATATTTGCTTTTATCTCATGAGTTTTCAAATGTGCATTGTATGATGATTTTCTAGTAAATCTTCTCATACACATTTCGCAATGGAATATCTCTGATGGGTCAAGGTTTTCAAACCTGTGCTTACGTAGATGCATTTTATATCTCCTTGGAGTATTAAATTCAATATTACATTTTTCACATACTTTATTTATTTTTCTCTTGAGTTTTTCTGGTTTATCTTCAGTTGTATCTGAGGGTATATCCATTTCTCCTATTACAGACTCATTGCAATTATTCTCATCCAAGTGTAACCTGTACTCATTGTAATTTTCAAATATGGCTCCACAGTTACATTTAACATTTTCAATTTGCTCCTCAACTTCCTCTTTACAATCTACTAATGATACAGCAAAATTGCTTGTGTTCTCTGTAAAATCAAAGTTTTGCTCATTTTTTCTGGCTTTGAAATCATCTACATCATTTTCATTACCAATAGTATTATTATGAAAAGATGTGTTTGTGTCATTTGTGTAACTATGCCCAGTTAATACATGAGATTCGAGAACTAGTAAATCTGAGAATTTTTTTGAACAAATGCTGCACTGATAGGGCTCATCCAAACAATGTTTGTTTAAAGAAAAACTGTCTATAACAGGCGATTTCCTAGAGTAATTTTCAGAAACTTCAACTTTTCCCTCAGCATAATAAGTTTCATTTAACGACCCTTCCGACTCAATGCAACGCTTTTTGAACTGATCAAACTTAAGAATGACTTCATGGCACTCTTCACAAATTTGTTTAGAACACTCATCACTCACAGAAATGTAAAGATTTAATATAAAAGAAAGAACTTCAGCTATCGTCCTATTATCACTCTCCATTTTACTTGTTAACTTTCTCATGTTGGTCCCCTCGCAAAGACATATTCTACACATGACCTTATTTATGTTAATTGAAATGTCCACGTTCATTTTGATTTTTGTAATTAATAAATATATAATCGAATTATCCGAAATGTACCTACACAGAACGCTACTAAACTGAACATTGAACAACAAAATGTCAAGTCAATGTCAACTCATCAACATAATAAAGAAGCGTTCAACGACTAGAGGATTTCTTTATACAGACTATTCACAAAGAGAATGTAATCACTACGTTTATTCATTATTAATTATTATTTTTGCCATCATTTTTTTTTTTCTAGTAGTGATTGCGTTGAGTTGACAGGAATAAAGTAAAATTATTGTTCATAAAGTATATTTACAAGAGCTTTACTAATCGGTATGTATTCGTTACGAAATAATGGTTATACTTTTAACTCGAAGCAGGTCCCGAAACGCCATATGAGTTACGACCGTCTTAAATTATAAATAATATGACAGTTTATTGAATATCTTTGCTAAATTTTGTTGTAGTACGCAATGTTGGATGGGGAAAATTCATAGGTTCGCGTCCGGTGTCACCTATATTCTAATATTACGCGTTTTGTCATTGACGTTGGTCAAGTTAAAATTTTCATGTTATTTGGTTTTGTAACATTTGATCACTGTAAAAGAAATTGCTATTTGTTCAATAGTATTTTGTCACGCATTTTAAAATTCAGTTTTGAGTAATTAAATTTTTTATTCACAATAATTTAGAGTAATTCATTTGTCTGAAATATAATGACTCTAAATTATTGTTTCACTATCATCATCATCAGCCGCACGACGATGATGATATCGTTCTAAGGGCTTTTATTTAACAGCGGGGCTAAGGTATCTTAGCTTTGACATCCGTGTGCGTATTTACTGCACCTGGCAAATGCAAATTCACGTAGGTACTACCCACGTATTGCTCATCCCTCACTCACATGATTAATATTTCTAGATGTAAGTATATAATACATACTGTAGTTGAATGACTTTACTTATTCACTAGACTGTGGCCTTAAGTCATTGTCTAGTTGTCCATAGTTGCAAACAACAGAAACATCCTTTACATTCCTTTATAATGGCGAATGGTATGGCGAAACGATCTACATATTTAAAATCTTAGTTAAATGCATCAAAAAAATTATATGGCACATACAATTGCGTAATAAAACACGTTTCATGGCCCTTTACAATAATTTATAATTCATACAAACATTAGACAAGAGGAATTATTATAATATACGGAGATCTTCAAGAAAGTTTACAAATTAAGTTCAGATACGCTAAGCGGTAATGAACGCGTTGTACAAGAAAATAAATCTAAATAAATATGTAATTTAAAACAATTAGCTAAGCTAGTTGTGACGCAATTTATTTGCGATGATAAGTAACATGCATGTAATAATGATATAGAAAATTTTTCTTACATTACAAATAATAAAATGAAAATATTTATGGATACCATAACAATAGTTTCATTTATTGATACAGAACTCTTTGAATGATATGTCAACTAAACTGTAAACATAATACTTAAAATGATGCTTTTGGTAGACCCACATAGTAATCTGAAATAAATTTTAATTTCTAAACCATTTCAATGATGAAATTAAATGTTATACTCTTGGAGAAAATGTAATTTCTGCAAAATCAAAGCGGTAATAAATAAATATTTAACATAACATATCTTTGTATAATAATCGAATATTATCTAGATCAATTTCATTGATTATCACCCAGTTTCCGAAAGCGCAATCAATTTTAATTTACGATAAATCTCTTGTCAATCGTTGTTTAACATGATCTGACTTGCTAGAACGTCTTAAACAACATTGATTTTGATTTGCAATTAGTCACTGATTAACGGACAATCAACAGAAAATCGAGTTTCTGAAAGCGTTTTTCGGTGGTCAACGAGCTGTCAAAAGTTTTATTAAGTAATCTGTCAATTTGGACGATCAATCGTTGGTTAAAAATATTATTTATCAAAAATCTTAGTTTTTATTAAAAATAAACATAATTCCCTAATACGTTGTTAGGACATTCATGTGTTCTATTACCTATTTATTATTATGCGAACATATCATGTGATTAGAAAAAATACAAAATGCAATTCAAAAGTTAATAAATAATATGGATTCTTTCTTTGAATACTTACTTGTTTATTATGGATAAAAGTTCATTTTTTTCACGTTCTGTAAAGTTTTTTTTTTTTGACATTTTGCATGTATTTATATAAATTAAATTTTATTATAGCTCGAACTTTTACGTTGGCAATCACACTGTGACAGGACTGGATAGTGACGTTAATTTAAGTTTTGTTTAAAAAGGGACAGCTATACAATAGAAAGAGTAAGTTGTAGTGAATCATTCATTTCATTCATTATCATTGGTTATACAGTGATTAGCTAATTTTTCTTGAACAAACCTTCCAGAAACCAAAGGCAGTTTAAACAGAGATTAACAGCTGATCATTTTTGACATAGTGTTATGTGATTGCTGCTTTGATTGGCCTTTCGGAAACTGGGCATAGGAGTTACTGTAAGAAATGATAAAAATTAAGTCATGATTTCAACCATTGCTTTCCCATTATAATTTACGTAAGGTGATTAAACGAAATTAAATAATTATGTTTAATATATCTATCATAAAGTTGTTTATCCACGTATTATCGTGACGAAGTAAAAAATAAACTAAAGAAGATAATATGTAAATAACATTTTGTACTAAATCAATACACATAAGAATAAACTCTTACAAACAGTAATAATTCCATGGGTACATACACACACATATCTGAATAAGTTATAAACTAATTAAAGACACTCCTTAAATTCGAACACTGACTTTTTATATTAGCTGTTCTATTGTATAAGCTACAGAATTATCGTTGACAATGTTTATTTTATTTGAATTCATTTCACTTGTAATGCTGAAAGGCGTTTTTTAAGATCCAACAAAATGTTTACTTCTGGCTGCCACACAGATTTGTCTTTAGTGGATGCCTTGAGCTTTCTCACTTTATCACCCTGCAAACAAATAATGGTTATTATTTAATTGAAATTTTTAACTTTATGAAATATTTCCAAGAAAGATTCGTAATGTATGCGGTAATTATTTTTTTTCTTTTTAAGCTAATATTATGTTGTCATACACTAGTAATGACAAAATTTTTGCTGAAGAGGAAAATCAAACTTACATTCTCACGGATGTACATTCGAATCCACGCATTAATAGGATTTCATTTTTTTTACGTGCAGGAACCGCTTGCTAGCACGTGTAGCGCCATGGGTCAAAGAATATTACGCTTCTAACTAATGAAGTTTGGAAACTTTAGAAAATTTGTGAATTGTATCGCAAATGGAATTAATTTATCTATGCATCGCCTTCTTCCGACCCAGCCGTTAGAAGAAGGTCGAAGCCAGAACTGGTCAATGGTAGTGTATAATTTTTGTAGTTATATTTCTTTTGGCGCGTTTGGGGAAAATGATGAGATATTAAATTTGTAGAAAAATGATGAGATAATTTACGATGCACGACACCTTAATACGACACTAACTTCACGGTATTAACACGGTAATAACAACTTTGACATTTACCTATAGTTGTTTTTTATTAAATTAAACCCATATCAATTGCATTTAATGTATTTTTTTACCAAACAACTCTTGTACTTTTGTACGTACGTAAGAAGTTATACTTCTAACTTCTTACGTACGTACAAAAGTAGACTAGTAGAGAAACTCATATATTTTTTTTAAATGTTCATAAAAAAAATAAAGAAATGTACCTGTTCAGCTATAGCCTTTTCTAAACTGGAAACATTATCAGTAATACTGTTTGCATTTGGCGTTGCTACATTACTCGTCTGTGCTTGGGCAACAGCCAACTGTTTCTTCAGCTGTAGCAATTTATCAACTTCTGGTTGCCAAACACTTTTGTCCTTCGTTGACGCTTTTAACTTTCTGACTTTGTCACCCTACAACATAACAATTACCAACATTTAAAAAAGATATGTCCATAAAAACGGAAGAATATATGTGTCTTGTATTTTAATAAAACTAAAACTACTTTTACATGAATACTTTAATGGTAAGCAGTGGTCACAGCTAAGAAAAGGTTAGAAAAAAATAAGAAAGAACATTTTATATACAATATTTGGTTCACCTGTTCCGCTATCGCTTTTTCTATACTAGAAATATTAGATCCATTTCCAGAATTGTTCAGTTGGACCGCAGGTGCTGCTTTTGCTGATTCCAATTGTTTTTTTAGATCCAACAACTTGTTGACTTCAGGCTGCCAAACTGCTTTGTCTTTTGTTGATGCCTTTAGTTGCCTTACTTTCTCACCCTGGAACAATATGATCACTTATATGTACGCCATACGTTGTAATATTATTAAAATAGTGGCGTGTCTGTTGATCCGTCTTTACACACAGCGATGGAGGCATGAGCACAATACTTTTTATTGAGAAACTACTTTTAAATATTTACATATATATATTATATATTTGTGGCGTGGATATAAATACACTGATGACACAGGACATCAATAGGCACGAGAGCGAAGCCGCGGGCAAAAACTAGTATACACGGAAATATAAGTTTCTAAAAACTTACTTGGGCCGCTACCGCAGCCTCCAAGGCTGCTACATTTGGTTTAGATTCTGGCGTATTAATATCGCCATTTGACTGTAAAGAGACATTTTATTATTAAAAACAATAGATATTATATTAAACTTTGTTATATTAACTAACATTTGCGCATTGTTTCAAATTAAATTTTACCTAGTTTTTAGCAAAATACAGAATACAAATTTCGACATATTATTAAAACATTTCTGATATCAATGATACTTAATTGCACATATCTTACTGCCTCATAACTTAAAACAAAATTGAAGCATTTATTTAACAAATTCTAAAAAGTATATTTTTTCCAAACTTACAAGGAACCTATTTTTCTTACGGGACGCGACGGGTTTAACAAATTAATTAAAACAAATTAACCAGTGTTTTCGAATTTTAAAAGTCGTTAAAGAATGTGAAACACTATTACTCGTTCAGACCGATGCCAATAAAATTATACATAAATAAGAGTGTACAATAAAATCTCTTGTGCAATAAACAGATGACTATAAATTGCCCTGGGCTTTCCATTATAACAAAAGAAGAAATAAGACATTGACAAAATAAAATTGACGCATTTATGTCCAAGATATTATCTCTGCCTAATACTGTGTATCTTTTTAATTGAAAGTGGGGATGGCGCCGAAAGCCGACATATGGTTTCTCACAACCTAATTCGACGACGGATGCTATTATTATATTGGAGCAATTTGAAACATTACTATGTATGAGTATTAAGTCTAAATATTGTACAACTAAAGGAAACGAACATCATGGTATTTATTATTCTTCTAACCTTTGCCCTATCGCTCTGCGTTCCTGCGTACTTAGCACGGAGATTCTCCAGTAATTCCGGCTCGATTTTGGCAAACAACGGCTCCGGCTTTCCAATGACGTGTCCCATTGGAAGGTACTGCACTAAACATGGTTTCCTGTAACGTTAATAAAAACTTTGTAATAGAGTTAATTATCATGCTACATTAAGGTTAAAATTGACCATTACAACTGGTTAATTATACCCTGAATTGTAAGGTTGCTTGATACTGAAATAAACACTGTTTTGTCTAACTTAATAGAAACCATATTATAGAGTAAATTTATTGCTAAATTAAGACTGAAACTGACTGTGACGAGATTACTAAAACTGTTTAACTAGTCCCTGAGCTGTAAGCGCTTTCATAATTGTAAGTTAGACGATATTAAAAGGCGTTCGTTTCGAGCGAGCTAAATCACATGCAAAATTTTCAAAACACACAAAACTATTGCCGGGAAGCAAAATAGCACACAAAAATATGTTATCATTGAGAGTCCCACTGACAATAATAATAACAATTTAATGAAATCCTTAAGTATTTTACCTATAAAATACTTACTCTGGGTTGATTCTTAATGTGGCAGCTTCAATGTTTAGTTGCTCCCGCAGTTTCCTACAAGTATGTGGCATATAGGGCGCAAGTAACGCACACAAAAGGGCGACTAACTGACAACAAAGGCCTATCGCCGTTGCTCCTCTCACTCTGCAAGTATAAAATTTAATCAATTTTTATTTCTTGCTTAAACTAATATTTTTTTTTTAAATTTCTTTCAAATCAAACAGGGATAAAATTACTCAAAGTTTTGTGTTCAGACTATCAATGCAGTCCCCTAATGATTTTATTCATATATTTTGACTCACTTCTCCTCGTCAGAACCTTTTAGAAGCACCCAAGGCTGCTCAGATTGCATGTGCTGGTTGCCAATGCGGGAGATAGACATCACGTGTCTCAGAGATTCTCGAAGTCGACCCTTTTCCAAGTTTTGGACATAAGCTGCAAGAAATTGAAAAAAGCAATACGGTTAATCTTGCTCATTTCACAATTGTAGAATCAAACAAATTAACTAAGTTCTATTTTCAATGTTGTCTTCGATTATTTATCCAAAAACAAATAATAATTTCTGCCTGTTACAAATGACATTTTACTTTTCCTTAGTTTATGCCGCTGGTTTCAGCCATTTCAGGTACTGGCTTCATACATCAATGTGGAAACTAAATTTCAATTGACCTTATTTCGAACTAAATCAAGTGAGTGTTAACCTTTTATGTACTTTCAATAATAATTTTGACAAACAGGCATGTTAAGGAGGAGGAGGATGGATTTCAAACTATCATTATTTTAGTACTGAAGAAATTTCATGACTGTTACAAATTGTCAATGATGTTAGAAATGATCAAATTTGTATTATAAATATCGTAACTGAGGAGTTGTGGCGTTAGTTGTAACTATATTTGCAAAATCATATGTTTATCATACATTACTCAAAAGCAAAAATATATTTATTCACATAGACGCTTGCGCGTTCTTATGAAATGTCAAAAATTTTACATAAAAATTAATGCGTTCGTAAGTTACCACCGTTACTTACTTACCAATAACCTCCCTATTCACCAAAGCAACCAGCTCCAAATCAGCCTGAGTCAGCTTAATTTCTGGCACTCTCCCTTTGAATGTGTTCGCGCAAAAGCTGAGGGACCGATGGCAGAAGTTGCCCAAGTTGTTTAGCAGCTCGGAGTTGTTCCTTGAAACATAAACGAAAATATCTGTAAAGATGTTTTTAAATAAGGTTGTAAAAGGCATCATGTTTTGTTAATTTTTAAATACTTTTTTAATTTATGCCACAATACCATTACTAACTCAACCGCTTCACTCAATCATTCGCTCTTGTCGTGAATTAGTGTAACTAACTTCAATCACTGTTCAATTGTCGTTAAAGTTCGACACTGGGAATAAACGAAGCATCTGATATCAATACCTGGTGCCAAGTTCTGTCCAGCTGAAACTGGAATCGGAGGTTTCCGGTCGTATACTCGCCAAGTAGAACCTCCAAACGTCCGAAGGAATGCCGGTTTCCTTAAAAAGTCATTTTTATAAATAACAAATAAATAATTTGTTTAAATACCACACTAGGAAATAATAATTGTAACTAGGGAGGTTTCGCAATCAAGAAATTCGCGGGCACAAAAATACACCGATAGACGGGACAAGGACCAGTCAGGATCCATGACTATGGATAAGATAATGTTAATTCTCTGTGGGGATCGAACCCACAACTACTGGCGTTGGCAAGGTTACCACCTAAATCATTGGGCTATCTTCAGAATCAATTATCTATGATAAAAAAACAAACCTGCGCATCGGTACCGAAGACGCCTACGCCCCGTGATTTAGAAAACTTTCCCTCTTCATAGTTCAAATACTCTGTATCAGGAAAACACATTAAAAAACTGTATAGTTTCGAAATAATAATAATATAATATACATGTAAAGAAAAATACTATTTTCTTTTATTTAAATATTTTCTTTAATTTAAATATTTTCGCACACCGGCCGTTGATAAAATTTATTTTAAAAACTATGTTTGTACGCCGGATTATAACAGAAAAAGAATTAAGCTGTCATATGAAGCAATTCATGAAAATAATCTGATTACAAAGATATTTAATAAGTAAAATAGTGATTTAGGAATCGACATTGTGATTATTAACATTAAATGTTGTTTCTTTAATTACAGGTAAAGTTTTAATAGTAAAATCTTTTATTTTTGTTATTTTAATTATTATTTGTTATAGTTTCAAAATCTTACAATAAATCTTTAATTACAGAGAAACTCAATTGTGTTTTGATTGCTGTGTCATCCTAAACACTGAAAAATATTCTTATAAAACGACATTTTCTGTAAAAAAAAAATGGAAAAGTTGAAATTTACGTTTCATGTTAAGCCAGTTTCATGTAAACCTCAGTTGCCAAACAAGATGACAAAGTTTTCTTGATTCCTGAGGAGTATCAAGCAGTATCACTTCACAAGCATATCCAAACTTCTAAAGCTTTCGTTACAGTTAAAAATACATTAAAAAAAAGACATCAAACTAGAAGTGTATGGATAAAAATGACAGAGGATTCATTACAAACATACCTCGATGAAGATGGTAACATGATTTTTCAGGATCAATTCCTTGAGGAAATAACTCCAGAACAAACGGCTATTATCAATAAAAATGATTCGGAAAGTCCTATCGTCAAAATTTTGGAAAAATTGATTGAAGGCCAACAAAGCAAAGAAAAACAATGTATAAAAAAGCTAGCCGACAGGTTTGTGATTGAAAAGTTTTATGGAAAACAGGCAAGTGTATATCATTGGATGGAAATATTTGAAAAAGAATGTGCAAGGTTTGATATAGTAAAAGATGAAGAAAAAAAAATTGAAATCTTCAGGCTGTTTCTAGAAAAATCATGCACTGATTGGTATTCTTCCATGATGATCAAGCTTAGTTTACAATCAGAGTGGTTGGAATGGAAATCAAACTTTTTGCAAACCTATGCTAATAAAGGTTGGACTACTAGCAAGTACGCTTTATTTTTCAAATATCAATCGGGATCTTTATTAGAATATGCTATAAAAAAAGAAAAACTTATGCTTGAAGTAAGAAAAACAATTGATGAAGGCACCCTTATTGATGTAATTGCTGCGGGCTTACCAGATTTTATAACGGATAGGATCAACAAGGAAGATATTGTACAAACAAAAGACTTATTCAATCAACTCGGCAAACTAGAACATTTGGTTACAAAGAGGAAATTTATTAAAAAAACTAACAAAAGTAACTTGATGAAAGAAAAATGTAAATTTGTGAAAAACTAAATAAAGGTGTACGATATCATTCAGAAGACATATGTTGGTTTAAAAAATATATAAATAATGAAAAAGAAAAAGATAAGAAACAAATAAAGCTCATAAACAATTCAGAATTGGAATGTGAACTGCAATATGAAGACCTAAAAACTGATAATGCCGCCATTAATTAAAGTAAAATTAGTATTGAATAAAAAAGTTGAAATATATGGAATCTATGATTCAGGCTCTAATGTGTCATTGATAAATTCAAGATTGCTAAAGATAAGCAATAAGGAATTAAGTTTTTCTAACAATACTAATTTAAAAACAATTAATGGCGTTAAAAAGGCTAGAGGCGTAGTAACACTTAATGTAACAATTTTTAATGTTGAGAAAAATATGGATGTCCTTGTAATAGACAAGGAAAATTTCGATTACGATTTTTTAATTGGACTAGATTGTATAAAAAAGTTTTACTTAATCCAAAATGAAAACTTAGAAATACATCAGAAAGTTCCTATACAAAGATGTGAAATAGTTTCTAAGGAATCAAATAAAACAGATATTGATATTTCTAAAGAAATAAAATCTGATAATTTAATAAATTTCAACGAAAACTTCAGTGTAGAGAACTTCAAAATTTGTATAAATCATCTAGACTATCAAAAACAAGCAGTAATTGATGACTTGATATTGAACAATAAATCTGTTTTTGCAAAGGACAAATATGACATCGGAACGGTAACGGATTATGAAGCACATATTGATCTGATAGTAGAAAAATATTGCAGTAAAAGGCCATATCGTTGCACCATTGAAGATAAAAAGGAGATAGAAAATCAGATTGCGAAATTGTTGGAAAAAAATATAATAGAAGAATCATATAGTCCGTTTGCAGCCCCAGTTACATTAGCTTATAAAAGAGAAGAAAATAAAAAATCAAGACTGTGCATAGATTTTCGTGACTTAAATAAAATTGTTGTTCCGCAGTCACAGCCGTTTCCACTTATTGAAGACCTAATAGTAAAAACAAGAGATTGCAAATTTTTCTCAACATTGGACCTGAATTCAGCATTTTGGTCAATACCTCTGCGTGTCACAGACAGATACAAAACTGCATTCGTCACACAGGAAGGTCACTTTCAATGGACTTGTTTACCATTCGGCCTAAAAACCTCGCCAGCAATATTCCAGAGAATAATGTGTAATGTTATACGAAAACATAAACTCGGAGAATTCACCGTAAGTTACATCGACGACATCTTGTTCTTCTCAAAAACCTTCTCAGAACATATCGGGCATTTAAAACAGTTATTTCAAGCAATTAAAAGTGAAGGTTTTAGACTGAAATTTTCTAAATGCACATTTGCAGCAGACTCAGTTAAATACCTGGGCCACATAATACAGAATAATTCAGTTAGACCTCTAAAAGACAACTTGATATCAATAAAAAACTTCCCTACTCCAAAATCGCAAAAAAATGTGAGACAATTTTTAGGAAAAATAAACTTTTATCACAAGTATGTGCCAAACATAGGAATAAAATTAGAACCATTGCATAACCTTTTGAGAAAAGGACAAATCTTTAACTGGACTAAGGAATGCCAAGAGTCATTTGATGAGATGAAAGAAATATTATGCTCTCAACCAATATTAACCATTTTTTAATCATAACTTGCCAATTCACATATACACAGATGCCAGTATACTTGGAGTAGGAGCAGTCTTAAAACAGCCACAAGAAAACAAAGAAGAGAAACCAGTAGCATATTTTTCAAAAAAATTGAACGAAGTTCAAAAAAGGAAAAAAGCTATATATCTGGAATGCTTAGCAATTAAAGAATGTGTAAAGTATTGGCAACATATGTTGATTGGTAGGAAATTCACTGTCTTCTCCGATCACAAGCCTTTGGAAAATATGAATATAAAGTCAAGAACGGATGAAGAATTAGGAGATTTAACATACTACCTATCACAATATGATTTCCAAATTAAATACTCTCCAGGAAGATATAACATTGAAGCTGATTGTCTAAGCAGAAATCCAGTCTTAGAACCAAATGAAAACCTGGATGAACAATTAAAAGTGGTTAACATGATTAAACTAGAAGATATCCTAAAAGATCAAGTTAACAATAGAAATATACAGTCCATAAAAGAAAAATTGTTGAAAAAAAATAATTTTTATTATAAGAAAGTTAAGAAAAGGGAAAAAATAATTCTATCAGAGAAATTTAGTATAGGATTAATCAAAAGTGTACATACAAACCTAGGTCATTTAGGACTTAATCAAATGCAAAGAATGATTAGCTCATTGTATACAGCAGAAAATATGACAAAAAACATAAAAAGTATCTGCGAAAGTTGTATAGTATGTATAAAGAATAAGTCCAGAGGACAAAATAAATATGGATTGATGTCCCAATTGGGCCCCGCTACAAAACCTTTTGAGATATGTTCCATTGATACCATTGGAGGCTTTGGGGGTTCAAGGTCGACAAAGAGATACTTGCACCTGCTATCAGATCATTTCACTAGGTACGCATACATTTCAACATCAAGTACTCAAAATGCAAATGATTTCATCAAACTAGTGAAAAACTGTGCAGAAACAGACGATATCGGCATGATTCTCTCAGACCAATATCCAGGTATAAATTCCAAGGAATTCAAAAGATTTTTGGATGAAAAGAATATTCCAATAATTTTTACTGCTGTGAATTCGCCCTTCTCAAATGGTTTAAACGAAAGACTAAATCAAACGTTGGTCAATAAAATAAGATGTAAGATAAACGAAAAAGACACTAAAATTGCATGGGCAACTATAGCACAAATGTGTGTAAAAAATTATAATGAAACGGAGCACACTGTCACTGGTTATGCTCCAAAGTATCTTTTAAACGGCACAGATGTTGCAATTCTGCCTAATGAACTAAAACGTAAGAAGACCGAGCAAGATCTGATCCAAGACAGGAAAAAGGCTCTGGTAAATACAATGAAATCACATAATTACAACAAGAAAATTTACGATAAAAATCGAAGACATATAGAATTCAAAGTTGGTGATGCTGTTTTTGTGGACAATGGAAACAAATTGAATAGGAAAAAGCTTGATGAACTGAGAATCGGACCCTACAAAATTATAGAAAAAATATCAACATCAATTTACAAGATAAACACTGACTGTAAGAAATTAGAGTCAAACTATTTCCATATATCGAAACTAACTCCTTGCTATGCTTGAGAGACCATAAAGAGGATGTGTGTGGGAGGGGGAGATGTAAAGAAAAATATTTTTTCTTTTATTTAAATATTTTCTTTAATTTAAATATTTTCGCACACACCGGCCGTTGATAAAATTTATTTTAAAAACTATGTTTGTACGCCGGATTATAACAGAAAAAGAATTAAGCTGTCATATGAAGCAATTCATGAAAATAATCTGATTACAAAGATATTTAATAAGTAAAATAGTGATTTAGGAATCGACATTGTGATTATTAACATTAAATGTCGTTTCTTTAATTACAGGTAAAGTTTTAATAGTAAAATCTTTTATTTTTGTTATTTTAATTATTATTTGTTATAGTTTCAAAATCTTACAATTAATCTTTAATTACAGAGAAACTCAATTGTGTTTTGATTGCTGTGTCATCCTAAACAAATATTCTTATATATAATAATAAGAGATAAAAATAAAAATATTTCTCTAACCCGCTGGAATATGTTCTAACCCTCACACAGGCCACCCCCAAGGCTGGGCAAAATTTTTGGGTCATATGCTAGGTTGGGTGTTATTTAATTTTTTTTTATTTTTTTATATATGGAGGATTCGTTTTAACCTAATAAGAAATATGGGCTTTAGGAGATGCTGATAGTTGATTAGTTACTGCTTAATATTTATCTGTTGTACTAATAACACAGAAGAATTCGTTATCAGTACGACAGAAAATATAATAAATGCACAAGTCCCTTAGGTATAAGAAGGAATAAAGTAATTTTGAGTTTGACTAAACATTATGTTGCACACTCAAAACCGTTATTTTATTTTTTTATTTTATGCGAAAAGTTGTCAAACGAGCAGACGGTTCACCTGATGTTAAGTGAATGCCGCCGCCCATGGACATCTGCCACACCCGAGGGTTACAGATGCGTTGACAACCTTTTGAAATAGCAAATCGAAAGCGGGACGTGCATACCTGTGGCGAAAATGTGGTCCACCAACTTGTGGCCCTCGTTGACACCGACCACTGTCGCCGGGAACATTATCACGTGGAACGGCACGTTGTCCTTCGCCATGAACTGGTATAACTTCACCTGATAATTAGTCCAACAGTTAGATGAGGAAAAAAATAAAATGATAGAAGAAGCTGCGGAACGGCATGACGCAACATGATCGCGACGGCGCACAATGATCATTTATTAAACTCTTGTTAAACTGCTTTGGGTCTCTTAAAAGTTCGTTCAAGTAAAATGAGCTAATCACTATTTAACCGGTGATAATGAATGAAATGACTGATTCACTTCAACGAATATAAATCGTCTACAATTGTATCTCTTTTTGAATAAAGTTAAAACAATGTCACTATCTTGTTGTCGAAATAAAAAAAATAAATTAAAATAATCACTTATTATGACAACGGCCATCGGGGTTCACGGTCCGTAATTTGATGGCTTATTGGCGACATTCTTCCCGTTTAAAATAACGCTTGCATTGATCAAGACACTAGTTCAGTACATGATTATTCACACGTGTATGGAACGTGACGGAAATACTCATGAACAATTTCGATTAAAAGTGTAATCGGCATTCACACTCACAGTCTTCATTAAGTTATTGTAAGTATCAAAATTATTGTAAGTATTTTTTTGTTAACATGCATTTGACGAAACATTTTCTTGTACAAACCTACTGTTTAGGTATTATATCAAATTATTCTAAAAATCATTTTTTTAGTTTCTTTTCCATAACCAGTAGGGGTGATGCAATTAATTACTTAAAATATCTCTGGCCTTTTTACATTTTCCTAAGAACTGTTTGAGATCGAAGTTTCGTAATACTTTGCACTCATATTTTAGTAATACTTTCTTGTTACATTTGTGTTACTAGAGTGAAATTAGTATTTAAATAATAAATAATTATGACTTACATCATATTCTTTGTCTGGCTTCCACCATTTCTCATATTGTTTCGTGGCACACTGAGTTATGCTCAGGTAGCCAATCGGCGCGTCGAACCACACGTAGAACACCTGGAAATATTAAAGTTAAATAATTTAGTACAACTAAAATAACTTAAGTGAAACATGATTTAGTTACGATTTTATTAGTACTTTACTTTACATTTGCATATCGATTTTTATGATAGATGTATAAAAAATAGGTGTTATTTCTGTATGGACCCGATGCTGGACAGATTTCGTCGATATTTATCGAATATATAGGCTATCTTCAGATTAGCACAGCCGGTGATCAATAAAGTTTGTTAGGGATCGGACCATTGCGTTTTTGGGGTATTATTCGGGATTTTATTATTAGGGATTGGATAATTAGTGACCCGTATGAAGCCGGGATGGGCTGCTAGTAAACACGTAAAAATAAATATAAAACAATTTAGTTCCTCATTGGCACAGCTGCTAAGCTATTGGCTTTGGCTTCGGGGGTCGTGGGTTCAATTCCCATTCAGGATTAGTATAAAGTTAAAGTATGTTTCCAAGAAGGGGCCGACGTCAAGCAGGCCGTAAATAAAATGGCCAAAATCACTAACAACGTATATTACGTGTTGTGCCGACCCAACCCAGATGGGATAAGTGCACAAGGAAGATAACGGTTATTTCATAAAGCGAAAGAGATTAAAAATTATAGAGTTAGCATTCTGAAAAAGCATAACCCTATATAACTTTTTATACTCCTATGTATACTTCACCACCGAAAGAAACAACGGTAAGCAGTTTTTCAGAACTTCTTATAATACTAGCTTTTCGCCGGCGGCATCGCTCGTGTTGTGAAGCCCTTAAATAAATTTCATTTTTACTAAAAATATTTTTTTTTTATAAAAAGAATCCTGTCCTTTTTAATACCTCTAAGAATATGTGTACAAAGTTTCATGATAATAGGTGGAAGAGTTTTGGCGTGAAAGCGTAACAAACAAACTTGCATTCACATTTACAATATAAAATTATTGTTAAATAATATAAAACATGTAAATGTAAAAATGTCGGCGTCGCATTACCTTGTTGGAGTGCTTCTCGATGGGCACGGGCACGCCCCACTTGAGGTCCCGCGTGATAGCCCTGGGACGGAGCGATTCCCGGAGCCAGGCGCGGGAAACCGCGCGGGCGGGCGCCGACCAGCCCTTCTCCGAACCGCCGATCCACGTGCGGAGGGAGGGCTCCAGCTAAAGTAATGGTTATAATAAAAAAAATTAAAAAAAATAGACACGCGAATACTCCGTGACGCAGATGTCAAGGCATTGGCCTCGGCGTCGAGGGTCGTGAGCTCGTTTCCCACATGGGACAACAGTTTATGTGACCCACAGATAGTTGTTTCGCATCCGGGTGTTCGTCCACGTGAAGTTTGTTTGTAAAGCGTCCTTACAACACAGGATATTGTTATCCTAAAGTAAGGGAAATGTTATTAGAGAAAAAAAAGAAATATGTCAAGGTTATTAAAGTTTTAAAGGATGATATCGAAACGATATGTTGCAGGCCGGTCACCATTAAAAAAAGGAACACAAAAAAAAAAGAAAACCGCGGCATAGACAACCTGCCCGAGCTCGAGGAACAGCTGCTCGCTGGGGCGGACGGCGGGCGTGTGCGCGCACATCTTGCACCGCGGCCGCACCAGCTCCACGGCGTTGATCAGCTTGCCGCACTTGTCGCACTGGTCGCCGCGCGCACTCTCGTACAGGCAGCCCGGGTGCGGGCACGCGCCCTCAACGAACCTACAAATTTTCATATAATAACTAGCTGCTGCCCGCGACTACGTCCGCGTAGAATAGGCTGAAGGCGTAACATTCAAACAGAAAGACAGATATACATAAAAATATGTACATAAATTATAGCCTATGTCTTATTCCGATGTATACGCTGAGCAGAAGATGAAACTTTACAATTAAATTGTAAAGTTTCATTAGAATCAATTCATTAGTATTTGCGTCAAAGAGTAACAAACATCCATCCATACATACAAAACTTTCGCGTTTATAATATTAGTAAGGAAGTAAGGATAATAACGAATGAACGTTCCTAATCACAGACTTCCGAAAGCTCTGCACCCAATTGCTTTGAAATTTTGACACAACGTGTCTCCACACATTGGTAAAAACTTTTTATATTAATTATCAGTTTTGGTTTTTTAGGAATTACTACAGTCTCACAGAAGACCGGCATGAAGTGTAGGTAGATACATTCGCGTTTGCGCCCGCCTTTTATTGCTTGATGTTCTAGGGCGGGGGTATGCTCTTAACATCAGTTGAATCATAGCTTGCTTGTTGCTGCTTTTCTCATTAAAAATATATAAAATGTATAAAGTGATAGATATATCAAATTAGAACAAACGAACCTTCATTAGAACCTTCTTTAGTATTAAATCTATAAGAAAATAACTATCGATTTATATTACAGTATTCCGATATACTTTAAATTTACATACCACATTAACATACCAAAATAAGTACTAAACAAACTACTAAAAATAAAAATTAGACATTTTTATATAAATTCTTACCTATCAGCAAGGAATCTTTCGCATTTTTCACAATATAGTTGTTCTACTGACTGTGTGCTGATAAATCCATTGTCCATCAGTTTTAGGAACAGCTTCTGTGCAATTCTGTAAAAATTAAAAAATAATAATAATTTATTGTATAAGATTTTTATACTTGACTAAGAACTAAGAATAATGTGCTTTATAGTCCTTAAATGCTTTGTAAAGTGCATAAATAGACAAAATAGAAAAATAGACAAATAGCACATATATGTTGTCAGCTTGGGCAAAAGTGCCGTTATTTTATATGCTTCTTCATAAATCTTACACAAATTCTTTCCTCAAGTATTCTTTCTTTCAGGTATCCATATATCTTACCATCTAACATTATCATATCATTTTGCTCAAAAATCTCAACTTTGGTAACAAAGTCTGCAAAGAGGTATTTTTCTTACAAACCATATTTTATTTATTTATTTATTTTAAACTTCATGCACAAAACAGTACATAGGCGGACTTAATACTGACAGCATTTTCTACCGGTCAACCTTAGGGTGGTACTGAGAAGTTGAGGTAGGTGCACAAACATAGTTATAAACTAAAAAGAAAAAAATACATAATTATTAAATATAAAAATATAACACATAATATACTTCTAGCATACAATACTTTTAAACGATACAATAAGTATTACCTTACATATACATATATACTTTAATATACATATATAAATAAACATATATATTATATACATATACATACACATTTATATCTGATGATGTCATGAAACTGCTGGCAATTTCCCCTGAATGTACTTGCGTGCCATTTTCTTAAAAGCAAAGCGATTCTTGGCCATTCTAATTTTGAGAGGGAGCTCATTCCAAAGAAAGATAGATTGAACAAAGAAAGAGGAATGGATAAAATCAGATCGATGAGGAGGACATAACAGAAGAAGATTGTGTTTAGAGCGAAGATTCTTCGTGTTGACTGTGCTAAGGTATTGGAAGTGAGGAGATAAGTATGAAGGAGTAAATGGGGAATTAAGGTAAGAAAAAAGTGTGGTCAGGGCTCTTAGGGAGCGTCGTTGTCGAATGGTTAGCCAATTTAGTTGTGACCGATACGACGATACATGGTCATATTTGCGGAGATTGAAGACGAATCGAATGCAGTTATTCAGAAGTCGGTCTAATTTGTTGAGGTGATCTGCATTCAGGTCAAAGTAGCACACGTCACCATAGTCGATTAAAGGAAAAATTAAGGCCTGTACGAGCGTTACTTTAGTTTTTATCGGCAGGAAATTTTTAACTCTGTAAAGACAGCGCAAGACACTAGTTACTCTTTGGCTGACACTAGCTATTTGATCTCTCCACAAAACGTCCCGTCAATGAGCAAACCTAAATTTTTAACCTTATTTTGCAGGGGAATGGGTGAGCTGTCAAAAACAATTGTTGGAAGGTTAACTAGTATTTACTCTACTAAAAGTGCGGGAACTCCCAACTACCATGGCTTGACATTTGGACGGATTTACGGTTAATCCAAAGTTATCTGACCAGGTCTTAATGGCGACTAAATCTTTATTTACCTTAAGAATGGCCTCATCAAGAGTGTCGATGGATGCCTGAGCATATTAGCTGCAAGTCATCGGCATAAAGATGATACGCACAGCGAAGATTATGAGTGATGAAGTTTATAAAAACAGAGAATAACAGAGGGGAGAGAATACCGCCTTGAGGGACACCATTCTTCAGACAAAGCCAGCTTGATGATGAATCGCCAATATTGACTGACTGCTGGCGCCCTCGAAGATAGGAGGAGAACCATTCCAGTGCTTCATCCGAAACCATTATGTGAGAAAGGATGGCTAAAAGGATATCGTGACTGACGGTATTAAAGGCATTAGAAAAATCAATAAGGACCATGACTGTAACCTTTGATTCCTCCATGCCGGCTCTAATATCGCCAGTCACTTTAAGGAGAGCGGTGGTGGTACTATGACCAGGTCTAAATCCGGATTGGAAAGGACTTAACAAGTTGTTTCTAAAAACAAAACAAGACAGTTGTTTATGGACGCAGGACTCAATTACCTTTGAGAGGAAGGGGAGAATCGATATAGGACGATAATGGGTAGGGAGAGAAAGATTAGAAATCTTTTGGAGAGGTCTCACCCAAGCTTTACGCCATATGGCAGGAAAGGACTTGGAGTTTAATGAAAAGTTTATGATATGGCATATAGCAGGTAGTAAAGGGTCAAGAATGGGAATAATCATGCGTCGACCAATGTTATCACATCCAACCGCATTGGATTTGATAGTGAGGATTGTTTTTTTGATTTCTTCAGAAGACACAGGAGAAAAATTGATCGTATCAATGTTGGGACGCGTCAAACCATGTAAATAAGAAATAGTACCTACCACATATCGCCAGGCGATCCATCGAGGTAGAGGTAGAGAAATGGTGATTTAAATCATCCAGAGCGATAGAGATGGGAAGGTTTGATACACGCGACTTACCGATACCCAGAGTCCCAAGGAACTTTCAAATACCAGCAGGAGTTGACAAAGAAATGTTATCGAGATTATAATGGCGTTTAGCGTTGCGTATCATCTGATTACATCGATTTCTGACTAATTTATACTGAGACCAATTTTCATCGGACCGAAGTTTTTTAAATTTTACATACTTTACATACTTTCTTTCAAATTCATCTGTCTCATCTGAGACTACAGAGTACAAACTGATGAGTACAGATGATGATATATATATGCGTGTTTATAAATAATGTTAATTACTGCAATACACACATATTTAAATTTCTATTCAAATGCTACTATACCATATATTTCTCCTTATACCATTTCATCATAGATTCTTTTCACCTCTCTTTATTCTCGCATATCCAGAACATTGCTTACATTTCCCCCATAACATACATTATATTAAAATTAGATGACCAATAAATGATTGCAACTCACTCAGTTTGCTCTGGCGTACTGGTCCTGCCGAAGTAGTCAAAGCCAATGTTGAACCAGCGGTACACAGAATTGTGGATGTCAAAATACTTATCGCAGATCTCGCGCGGAGTTATGCCCTCCTCTAGTGCCTGAAATTCGTCATTTATCAGTACACAACAATATATGTTATTCTTTTATTTTTATATGTTCAATCATTATATTATATTCATTTAGTATAACACAAATATATATACTATTTGAATACGATATTTAACCTACCTTCGTTTCCGTAGCCGTCCCATATTCGTCTGTTCCACACACATAAAGAGTGTTGTAATCACACAACCGACAATACCTGAATGAGATAAATGAATATTTTACTCAATGAAAAAACTATGTTAGTCATTGAACACATATAAAACGAAAAGAATTTTTAATGTATACAAAAACGTTAAAATGAAAATTCTATTTATTTTAATTTTTCAACACAATCCCTGTATCCCTGTATGCGTGTTTTTATAATCATTTATGTATCATCATCATTATCATCATTTCAGTCTGACAGAGTCCACTTCCTCAAAGACTGCCACGAAGCATGATACTGAGCCGGCTGCATCAACCAAACTCCTGCAATTTGCACAGGTCGTCAGTCCATCTAATGAGCGATAGTCCATATATTAGTCCGATAGTACGAGGCTGCCACTAGAGAACCTCTTCCCTATCGATATTGATTCTTCCAGCTATATGGCCGGCTAATTGCCACTTCAGTTTACTAATCCTATGAGCTATGTCAGTAACCTTTGTTCTACTGCAGATGTCTTCGTTGAGAACTTTATCGCGCTGTGAAATAGTGAGCAAAGCTCGCTTCATAGCTTGCTGGGCGAAATTGAGCTACCCCATATGCGCAGCGGAAAAGGGCCGTCATCACTAGCAACACACATTGATGTATATGAATCAATAAAAAAAGAATTTTTTATCAATTTTTTATGAAAGTTCAGTGAAAGAAAAAAGAAAGAAAGTTGAAGGTTTGTTGTTGTAGTATTAACATTTATGCAGTTATACATACCTTGCAAATATGTCAGCTGATAGTACACAGCCGATTATATTGCCCAGATGCGGTACATTATTCACGTAAGGTAGAGCCGATGTTATTAAAATATTTTTGCGACCTTTCACTGGTAACCTTGAAAAGATAACCAAAATATGAATCAGACATTATTCCTCCTCAAATATTGGATATGTTTTGTTGATTGATAGACTTTTAGGGCAATGCAAGTATTGCAGAGGGTAAAACACACATGAAATCACCAACAAAAAGAAAACAGAGACCGAGTAAGTAATCATTTAACATCTATGGAAAGCGGGATTCATCATCTTATGCAGCCAATAGAAGCTGGCAAGATGATTGCCACCAACAGAGTGCAATTAATTGTTTTTCATTAACAATTCTTATTGTTACGTGTTAGGGGTTCGAAGGATTTGGAGAGAAAGACCTGCTGACTCTTTTGAAGACTTTATTTACGCGCACTAGGTCCAAACACTAAGCACTAACGTTGTCCTATTTTGTAGCCAAGTCGTAGGTTTCACTGGTATCGCTCTTGATCACTAGTTTTCGCTCCGAAGTCGCCTCGAAGGTAGCTCAAACTGAACTGTGTTCGCTCGCCTCCCTGCGGCTTTTTATATGGGCCGAGACCGGTTCCGGACTAATCCAGAAAGATCATTCCTGGAACGTACCCGACACGCGCGAACATGTTCGTGATTCCGGAAAGTTCGCGAATGTACCCGGTTTTCGAGACTATAGTTCCACAGCAGTTCCTCTAACGCCATCTAGTGTTGAATAGGGGGTTTTATGTCGTCTTTGTTCTTTAGTGGTTTTAATAGTTGACGCTAGATGGCCTTAGTTCCTTTGTGTGTTCATAACACTACTCCCCTCTTAGAGATGCTCGTCCCGAGCATCATTGTTACTGCCATGGTAACGCGCCAGACGGTCTATGTGTACCACTTTGACTGTCCCTCTGGGTTTTTTGAATCCTATAAGTCACATCATTCAGTCGGGTAACCACTTTGTATGGACCGACCCACTTGGTCTGCAACTTTGGGGATTTCCCTTTCCAACGAGTTGGGTTATGCAGCCACACCAGTGACCCTTCGTCGAAGCCGTCCGTGTTCGATTTTCGGTCGTATCTGGTTTTCATGTTCTCACTTGACTGTAACCCATTTTCCCGAACCAGCTCTGACCTCCAGGTCTTTGATTCCGTCCACAAATGCTTGAACAATATTCGTGTCTACCATCTTGGTGTAGGCTCCTGGGTGTGCCTTCCTGACGAGTTTTTCAATTTCCAACGCCCATTGTTGTAGTCCTTCTCCTGAGCGTTGGACTCGGTCACGCAGTTGGGCACGGAACACGTGCTCCAGGTGTCGCTCCCCGTATCTGGATTCAAGTGCCTCCATCAGGTCTTGGAACCCATTTCCTGTACGTGGCAGTGCTTCCAGGACCGACAAAGCTTGCCCTCTGAGCGCAACAGTGAGAGCGGTCAGGCATTGCTCTTCCGTCCATCCGTTGGCAGTAGCAACAGTCTGGAATTGCCGACGATAAGCGTGCCAAGAAGTAGTGCCGTCGTATGGCGGCACTTTCACTTTTGGTCCTTGTGCCACTCCAGTAGTGCCACTAGACATCGCGATTCCCGTGGTTTCAAGGCGCACTACTTTCTTCTGTAGTTCGGTGAGGCCGGTTTTCACATTTTCAACATCCAATCCTAACCCGGTAACTCGTTCTTCCACTACGTCGACATCTTTTCGAAGTTTAATCACCGTGTTACTAACATCATTTATAGCCCAAAGCGCCTTTTCTTGGAGGTCTTTTTGTTGCTCTTGCGATTCTCGAATTGCTCTGATTTCAGCCTTTTGAAACTCTTGAATCGTAGTCAGCTTGCGTTCTTGTGACTCTTGCAAAGCGCCGAGCTTGCGTTCTTGTGACTCTTGCAAAGCGCTAATTAGTTCAATTAAACTTCCTAATTGAAGAGCCATTTCAGGGGCTACAGAAGTTACGGTGCCGCTGGTGGGCGTGGCAAGGTGGGCGGGGCCAGTGGGCGTGGCCCGGTGGGTGGAGTCAGTGGGCGGTGCTTGCACCCAAGGCAGCGGGGCTTGTGCCCGAGTGGGCAGGTCCTGAGCCCGAGTGGGCGGGCTTGTGCCTGAATGGGCGTGGTCAGTGGGCGTGGCCTGGTCGGTGGGGGCAGTGGGCGGGGCTTGTCCCGCAGTAGGCGGGGCTTGGTCCCCAGTGGGTGTGGCCTCCGCAGCTCGTGCCCTTGTCCTGACACCCTCCTTGAAGTCCTCTCTCGGAGTCAATGGCATCTCCAAATCCCACTTCTGACACCAGTTGTTACGTGTTAGGGGTTCGAAGGATTTGGAGAGAAAGACCTGCTGACTCTTTTGAAGACTTTATTTACGCGCACTAGGTCCAACACAAAGCACTAGGTCCAAACACTAAGCACTAAAGTTGTCCTATTTTGTAGCCAAGTCGTAGGTTTCACTGGTATCGCTCTTGATCACTAGTTTTCGCTCCGAAGTCGCCTCGAAGGTAGCTCAAACTGAACTGTGTTCGCTCGCCTCCCTGCGGCTTTTTGTATGGGCCGAGACCAGTTCCGGACTAATCCAGAAAGATCATTCCTGGAACGTACCCGACACGCACGAACATGTTCGTGATTTCGGAAAGTTCGCGAATGTACCCGGTTTTCGCGACCAGTAGACAGCAGTACCACAGCAGTTCCTCTAACGCCATCTAGTGTTGAATAGGGGGTTTTATGTCGTCTTTGTTCTTTAGTGGTTTTAATATTTGACGCTAGATGGCGTTAGTTCCTTTGTGTGTTCATAACATTATTTATAATACATCAACCTACCCTTATCACCTAGGTGTAGTCTGCTCAACATGTGAATCATATTGTAATTGGTTTTGGCTATTTTTTTATAACTGGCCACATGCCTGAAGTCAACCATGCTTAGAAAACAAATACTGGGTGGTAATTGTTTATTGGTCACTCAAATACTTGTCCTGTGTGGGAATCGAACCCACTACTCTCGACAAGCCAATAGCTTAGCTACTGCGCCATCGAGTCATCTTATTTCTAATACATATTTAAAGTAACAGCCTATACATGCCCCACTGCTGTGCAAAGGGCTTCTCTATACAGAGGGTAACAGTCCACCTCGCGGCCCCACTACGGATTGGCGAACTTCACAGATCTTCGAAATATTTTTTTTTGTTATTATTTCGAAAATATGCAGAAAATGATGTTTTCCTTCACCGCGGAGCATGTCAGCACTTAAAATTAAAAACTTCATTGGTGCCGGCACCGGGGATCGAACTCAGGTTGCTCGAGTATATAGAATTAAAGGCGAGCGCCCGGAGACTGAGCTATCATGAGCTGAGGCTCATATATAATACATATTTGTTTTAAAATAATAATCACTTACACTAGTTTCTCTTGTGGTAATAGTGGTTGCATATTTTTAAAGCCATTAGTCCATCCCTCAAGCGCTGCTTTCACTTCTTCTGGAGTGGCAACCAGGGCTGCTGGGTCCTCATCTGGTGATCTACAGAGTAAATAGATCACAAATAAAATTATGAGTTTTGATAACGATTAATAAAACTAAGTACTAGTTCTCAGTTTATTATATTAGGACTGTATTGGAAATAATGAAAGTAACATGTTTACAATTTTTCAAATTAATGTTGGTATTATATTAAGCTAATGATCTCTCATTTTTTATAATAATAATTATATATAGTTATATAGTTTTTAAGTCCCAAATATTTTTCGATATAATGGCCACAGTTAAAAGCTTCATATGGCATACAATATAATTTTCACTATTCAATATGTACAGAATACAATGAAATTAACTTCCATGAACTGGGTTTATAAGATTACAGAAACAGAACAAAATAACATTACAATATTGCTTCTATGGTATGTTCTGCTCATTTCATAAATTATGGTAATAAAAATAATTACCCAATAGGTGATACAAGGTTAGTGATCTGTGGAATGCCCAATGTAGATGATGCTCCAAATGGCCCTTTAGCTGACCCTCCCCACTGCTTAACTGCCTCCTAAAAGTTTTTGTAGGAACCAAGTTTAAATATTTTTTGCATTACTATTACTGTTAAAACCAGAATTGTTTTACATTATAAAAATGTACAAACACTTAAGAGCAAAATCATGAATTATATACATAAATTTGGGTTATATTCATGAGATATTATTTTCACCTCTGAAAATTTTCAAATAGGCAAACAACCAAATACTGTAACCAAAAGTAATAATTACATCATTGCATTTAACTCTTAAATAATTCACAACATAAACACATGGTTCTTATCTATTTAACTCTTAAATATTATTTGAAATAGTTGGGATATATATTACTTGAATAGCTTTAGCAGCAGCTAGTTCTTCCACCCAACGCACTATGTTTCTGCATTCGGGCATATAGCTTTGCTTTAAAGATTCTTCATAGTACAAGGGGTATAAGGTGCTCCAAATTGATATATCTGCGGCTGATAATTTATCCTGTGAAAAATATAAAAATTAGATGCAGTTCCTTCACAAACAAAAATGGAATAAAAATTAACTAAAGTAAATCAGTATCACTTTTTATTTCCATATATATATCTCTTACCCCAAGGATATATTTGTGCTTCTGAAGCAATGAATCCAGCATTTGTAGCAAAGATTGTAACACTTGACGTAAATCAGATGCCACATTTTTACCACCAGCAACTGCAGCTATCGCCGGCTGAAGTCGTGTAGCTTCCCACTCTTGCATTTGTTGACTGTAAATTGGAAGATATTAAGTCTTAATTTTTTGCCTGCATTTTTGTTTGATCAACTTATGCAAAGAATCTCTCCATTCTAAATCTCAATATTACGGCCAAAACCTAATAAGTATGTTACATCATACCATTGGCCATTTTCTGACAGGTCTAAAACAGGAAACAAGTACTGTGCTGCTGCATTACTAGAGAAGAATTGTAGCTGATCATCCACTTCCAGTAATGGCAGTACTTGAGGTCCTGCGAAAATGCCATCTGCAATGCCAGACAAATGCTCAGTGCCAGCCCCCAATTGTTAGTAGCATGCTAATATTTATAGGGAATTGAAATAATATTTCTTATTAACAAAATCAAATGATTGTGATATGGGCTCTTTAGTCTCATTTAAAATTCTGTTATGCCAAGTTATTAGCTGTGTATATTTTTAAATTACAGGAACATAGGGTATTAATAGGACATTCAATTGTTAAAAAAACAAACAAATTTATATAGAACAAAGTTAATAAGAGTAATAGCAGGAAAATGTTAACAAATTTCATAACAGCAAAAAAATTACGTATATTTATTGAATTACTTATAGCATGAAAACACAAAGAAATATATATTACTAAGCTGAATAAATAGAATGATATGAGCGTTGTAATGAATTTTTAACTTAAAAATTTTTGATAAGGTTCTGCAACAGAACTTAAATAACTTTTCTGAATAATAAGACATGCAAGTGAGAAATCGTTAAAATAATGGCTTCCGGATATTGAAGAATAGGAGAAATAAATATTCAATATTTAAAGAAATTAATAATAAAATTTAATTTACCTTCAAAAGTAGCTTTGAATAATTCAATTTTTTTGCCTGCCAAATTAGCTGCTATTAACAGTTTCAACGTCGCAGTATTATTCTCATTTGTAAAGATCTTCATTGTTCTATTTATATATGTAATGTTTTATTTCTTTTAAATTTAATTTGCCACACATAACCTATTTATTGCTATCAATTGGAAGTTGGCAACTTGGCACTATAGAACTTGCAATTTTATTGACATATGACAAGATGCAAGTGACTAGTGGTGGGCGATACATATCGTATCAGATATGAAAACTAGATATTAGTACAATATCCGAATATCGCGTACTGGCTCGTTCAATATCTAGGTATTTTACAATATCTGATGTAACGTGCTCGCTCGCTATACCGACACGAATCGCGATATCATACGCGTTTGCCACAATATCTGATTTTTAAACAGATTTCGAGAGACAAAGCGCGTGAGATACAAATACTCACTAGTTAGAGCGGGACGGCAAGCAATGCACGATATCAGATATCGAGAGACAAAGCGCGTGAGATACAAATACTCACTAGTTAGAGCGGGACGGCAAGCAATGCACGATATCAGATATCGAGCGACAGAGCGCGTGAGATATAAATACTAACTAGTTAGAGCGGGACGGCAAGCAATGCACGATATCAGATATCGAGCGACAAAGCGCGTGAGATATAAATACTCACTAGTTAGAGCGGGACGGCAAGCAATGCACGATATCAGATTTTTAAACAGATTTTGACCGACAAAGCGCGTGAGATACAAATATTACACTAGTTAGAGCAGTACGGCAAGCAAGGCACAATGTCAGATTTTTAAACAGATATTTTGAATAAGTTAAGTAATTTAGAATCTTAAAACTGTCATAGTTTTAAGATTCAAAATTACTTAACATAAGATCCGTTACAATTAAATACTAATCATGGTATCAACGATTACTACAACGATATTAATAAGTATATTTTTATTGTTTTGTTTAGCCTTGAGTCGTAACGGGCGACAAAGCGCGCAGTTAAGTAATTTTGAATCTTAACAGCATGGAAAAAAACATTTTTAGTTGCATTTAAATACGAATTACGGTATTAACGATGTCTTTAAATTTTGTTTAACCTTGAGCTGGATTGCATTGGTACTTATCACGTAATAGTAAGGGATGCCAACTTACTACTTAAGAATTTTCTGCCTAAATTAAGGAAGAAAAATTTAAATGGAAATTTTTTAGGAGGTAAATTTTTTGTGAATATTTTTATTCGTTAAATTTTATTCATATTTTTGGAAAAAATATGAATAAAATTTAACGATTTAACGAATAAAAAATAATAAGCTGTGCTGCTTGGGTGGAAATCAGACCAAGGCTTATGTGCTTTGTGTGTATATTTTAAATTCTTCCGCCCTAAGTTATAATACTGAATGTATTATTTCTTACACAAATTATAAAAATATTGTCACTCATGATTGCGTGTTCTAAGAATATGTTAAACTCAATTATTTTAAGCGACATATAAGATGTTGAAATAAATCATTTTTATATTACCTCAATTTCTATTTTTAATGAAATTTATTTTTTTATTATTATTATTTTTTTTTTTTTTTTTTAGAATTCAAGGTGGATACGGGACCGTAAAATATCTAGATATTAAAATACATAGTTTCGAAATCTGATATTTGAAATCGAAATCTGATTCAGATACGGTACTCAGAAAAAGCGATACGACCCATCTCTACAAGTGACATACTAACACATGGCCATAATATGTCGATTAAAATATCGATAATATTTTTCATTTTATATATATCGATATTTTTAACTGATATATTTGGATCCGATATATCGGGACAAAATATTCATTATCAAATTTTTTTTTTACATGTTAAAAATTGATAATTTTTTTTCCTCGTTTAATATTTTAATAAAATATTTACAAGATTAAATCTATCTAAAATTGTATTTATATTATCGAAGTTGTATTTCAAACAGGGCTTGAATAACCGATAAATATAGGTAAAAACGGTAAGGGGAATGACGTCATACCTTTATTATTGTCATAGCTTAAAATAATGCCACAGCTTTTTTCTGATAGCGAAAAATATATGTACCGAAATTTTTTGATATCTATAAATTACGGTACCATTATTTCTTTACGATAACCGAATTATAAAATAAAGGTTTACCAGCGGCCCCCCCGGGGAGGCAGCGGGGTGCAAAGTACAACAATTCAATAATCGAGACTTGTGACACCGACTGTAGTATTGCGCACGTTTTCTTGCGAAGTTGACATTTATTTTAGTTATATATACCTTCTTCATATTTATATACGTCTCAACTTCAACGGTTAAGTGCACCGCCATTGTCTAGCCTAGCCAGCTCTTTCGTCACGAAGATGGATAAAAGTAAGTAGGTACTTTCATATCTTTAGCCTTTTTAAAACAGTTTAATTTTTTTTTATTAATTTAATTAATTATGAATTAAATTTATTAATAAATTTCACTTTTATTTTTTCTTTTACTGCTTAGTTATTTTTAACTACAAGTGTATGATGATTTTATTTTGTTACTAAAGTAAAAATTTTGTAGGAGTGCATTGTGTCGCCGATAAATTGTTTTCACAATTTGGCGAAAAAACTATTTATGTTGTTATGCAACATAAATAGTTTTTTTCGCCGAATTGTGAAGTGAAAAATAGTTCACTTAATAAATAAATAAACCGTTTGTGTTAACTTTGGTAAAGTAAATGGGTAATTTATGAATAACATTTCGTATTATGACTTATTTTAGGATCAGCAATGAAGCGTCATCACTCGCCAGATATTTTAGGGGATTCGGAGCGACCACTGTCCCCCTCCGTTCTTCAATCTAAACTAGGTAAAGTTTTAGAGAAAAAAAGACTTAGACCTGAATGTTCACACTGCTTTGCGATCAAAAAAGAAGAGAAGGACCGAAGAAACGAAATTTTTGGTTTACTAATAAATGAAGAAAATGAACAACATAGAACCTTGTATGAGATCCCGAGTTTATTCAAGAATTTTAATATTTCTACATTCTATAGAAGGAAAACACAGTATAGAAGTCCCTTTGGTAGAATCTGAGCAGCATAATTCCTAAAACAGAATACCCTCATGGTATCTTCGCAACAACTACCATCACCAACAACCACAACCACCTACTATCTCGTCCGCAACTACCATCACCATCACCATACACATGAGTCATTGATGTTTAAATTAAAGATTGAAATTGAATAACTGATAATTTGACGTATGTGATTTTAATAAATAAAACTAAATAAATTGAGGCAATTTTTGGAGTATCATTTATTAAATTGAAGTCATTATAAGTTTTTATTTTGTTGAATTTATCAACAAAGGATTAAAAGAAGAACTAATATTACATAACCAAAAAACTAAAACTAAACTAAAATTCTTTGTATTATAAAAGAAACCAATTACCAAAAAAATCTCATTTATAATAAACATTCACAACATAAAAAGGTTCGACCTGACATCTAAAAAAAAAAAAAAATACAAAACATAACAACAATTAACATAACGGCTAATTTACTTCAGTAATAACATGAAATATTTTAATGACGAAAATAGGCGCTCCACGCTCACTTGCGTGGCTGGCACAGCAAACACTACTTTTGCTAAACGATATAGTTGAGGTTCCAACTCAGCTTTTTTGTCCCAAAATGATAATACTTCTTCTTTTGTTGGTATACGGGGGTGGTTGGAAAAATTTAGTAATATATTTGAAATATCCGCCCGCGTGTGAATATAAAGAGCGGGCCGTTGAGGTCTCCTCTCTCTTTCAGTTTGTGACAACATTATTTCCATTTCATCTTCTATTTCTGAAACAGCAGAAGATGTAGAGGGACGGTAACGGTCTTCTTCAGTTTCTTGTTGAGAAAGAAAATTGTTTGCCTCTGTTTTTAAAATCTGTACCCAAGTTGCATTTAAATGTTGCGCAGCTAAAGATGCTGCCTCACACGATAAAACCACCTGGATTCGGGGGTCTAAATACAATGCACTAAGAAATGTCGCACTGGTCATCAAGTGTCGTTGTCTGTCTTTCATAAATACACACAGCTGTTGTGCAAGAGGAGTGGACACGTGTGATGTATCTAAATAACATTTTGTCCAGTAGTAAAAAAAATCACTCAAAGTAAGCTGTTCTTCTTGTAATATTTTTGTGCATATTTTGGCGGGTCTCAGAGAAATTATCAAATCATCAATTGTGTCCCAAAAAGTATTAGGTAAGTACAATGGTTCTCCAGGTTCATCAGAGCAACAATCCCTCAAACTTTTCAATCGCTCTAGCATATCAAATGTTGAATGCCAACGCGTGTTATTATCTATAATGGCTTTATTTTTTTTGCTGATTTTATCAAATTTTTCATAGTAGGCGTTCGCAGTTTCCTTACAATCGATCGCGCTTGTTCAATCGTATGTACCGATTCATCTTCTCTTAAAGCATCTTGAACTGCCAGCTGCAGTGAGTGTGCAGCGCACCGAACTTAAGTAATAGCATATGGTACATCACTATCGGACTGAAAAGTTACATCCAATAATCGGTCATTGTAATGTAAGTCTAATTCAGATTCAGAGTGACTTAAATCGTCTTCTCTATCTTCTAAATCGTTCATCAAGCGGGTCAATTTCAACATATTTGCACCATTATCTGATGTGATCGTATAAATTTGATCCACATTTATTTCGTATTTCCTTAGTATGTATAATAACTTTTACCGTAGGTACTCTGAAGTGCTTTTATACCACATTTCTGTCACACCTAAGGTTTTAATTACTATTGAGGCGTTTTCTATATATTGGGCATTGACGGCGAAAAATGTTCGATCCAGTCGAGTGGCGCTGTCGATTTTTAATGAAATTAGTCTCCCTTTTATATCTTTACTTATATTTTTACTCACTTTTTCAGCCGCTTCTGTAATTAATCTTCTTATAGTGTGTGAATTTAAAGATTGTAATTCTCTCGGACTGATAGCAGTCATTGCCATAATGTTTTTAAAAGCCAGATCATCCATCTATAAAAATGGCCTCCCATGTACTGTTACCAAATTTACGCACTGCGTTTGTAAA